TTTAGTTTGATCTCTTCCAAGGTGCACCGAAGACATCACAACCAGTAAACTCAGCAGCTTATTTCTACGAAGCACCTCCGTCGAACAGCAAAATATCCCATTAATTTGACAATGGGTAAAACTTCCAAGGAATGTTGTCAATTCCCAATATTAAGACAAAAAGAAAGAAAATCAGCATCTTCAGGCTCAAACTTTGTGTAAAACATCAGGAAAATGAAATGCCTGATGTTTGACTTCAGCGCTGGGTTAAAGGCACTCCACCGGTGGACTGAATGCACTGAAGCCATGAGCGTTTTCACAGGAAAATATAAACACCAAGAAAGCCTGAACCAGCTCACTATTGTCATTTTGTTATGTTTTTTTTTCTTTTTTTCAGTCCTTAAAATGAAAAACCTGAGGCAGGTGGAATAGTTTGCATCTAAAGGGCTGTTTTTGGTTTTAGCTGTAGTGGATCACAAATGTATAAATAAGAAAAACCGTTCCGAGAGACACGCGACTGACAAAACCAAAAACATTCATCTTCAGCTGGAGATCACTGACGAGAAGGAAAATAAAAAGCTAAGGAATGATTAAAATATTGCTACAATATATGATTATATTATGATTGCATATTTGGAAATAAAAGAGAGAAAAAAAAAAGGACAAAAACTAAATCGAGACTAACATTAAAGCAAAGCTGCTAAAACTCACTCAGTTCACATGTTTGGTACTACAGTTACCAACATTAGAAAACACTAACTTAAAGCACTGACAACACCAATAAAATACACAAAAAAACAGGAATATATCTGTAATACATCTCAACAGTAAACCTTAATTAACTGTAAACCTGCTTTTGTCAATTCAGAGGCTTTGTTTTGTCTTTGTATTTAGGTGGGAATAAGGCACAGGGATCTTTTTAAGGTCAAAGCAGACATCTCTAACGGATGCCAGAGTGAAATCTGAAAGTCAGAAGGTTGAGCTAAAACTTCCTAAAAATCTTAATTTCTTTATCAGGTGAAAACAAGAATCAGAGATTAAAGTGATCATTCTGAGAAAGTAAGTTTTTAACATTTCAGTCGGAGCCCATGGTCATTTTAAAGGCAGACTTTGATCCCTTGATCATTGGGCTAAAGTCAAAAGGCAAAAGAGGCTGAAAAAATGCTAACTTCCCCAAAAAAAGGACATTAAATTCTGACTACAACAGGCAGTTCTGACCTTGTATCAAACAGTTCAAACTCAGAATACTGACTTTTCTCTGATTTTAGAGAACCAGTAAAGAACTTCAGAGGAGCTCTGAAGTGTCATATTTATGGACTCTTCCTACCCTTTGCTAAAGGTGAGTAGTCTAAAAGGTTAAAAATAACAAAATAATTTAACATCACAGCAGATTTCACGGTGGTTTCTGCAGATGTGCATTGGAATGATCGGAGTGTAGTGGACACCATCGGAGAGGATCCAGCTCGCAGAGACGGAGGCTCAGATGGAGGACTTGGAGAAAGAGACCCGCAGGTGGTGGTTCTCTCCCAGGTCGTGGTTGTGGAATGCAATGAGACAGTCGATGGCTTCTTCCACTGAACCCATCTGGATCAGAGCCATCTTATGGTCCTTCCTGAGTAAGAAAATAAATGTTTCAATTTATAGCAATGGAACAGGATCCATTATCAGGACTTCCATGACATGGCAGGACCTTGTTAGAATGATTAGATGCACCGAGGGAAATTCAAATATGGTGGACTTATTGGTTGGGGGAAAAAAAATAAAAAATACTCCAGAAAGAGGAGGTGTTAGGTCTAAAGGTGACTGCTAAACAAAACAACAGTACTTCAGGACTATTGTACCAATAATCTCACACCACTCTGGCATAATTGAGACTATTCCCCAAATCATGCCCCTCCTGGTATCAGTCGTTTCTCACATGGGCCTTGAAGTCCTCTTAAAGGGTACTGATCAGCAACCTCGACAGAGATGTTATTGAGACCGAGTCCTCTGTGCATCATGGTCCCTCTCATCCAATTCAATTCAATTCAGTTTATTTATATAGCGCCAATTCACAACACATGTCATCTCAAGGTACTTTACAGAGAAATTTCAACCAGATCATAAAGTCAAATTGATTAAAAGTTTTCCATCTTAGGAAAACCAGCTGATTGCTGTTGATCCACCAGGGAGAACCCTGATACGAGATGACCAAGTTGAACTACAAAGGAATTGGGTCTAAAACTTTGCAAATTGACAGCAGGACCTTAGGACGAGTCATGGTGAAAAAAAAAAAATAATAATAATAAAATGAAAGGAGGACAGTACTGCATCAAAGATGGTTACAAGGCAGGCCAAAGGAAACTAGAACTTAAAGGTTAAGGACTTCAGCAATGTATTAAGAAAAATAAGGAATAAAGTCTTAAAACAACAAATACAGAATATAGAAGATCAAATCTTCAACAACAAAAAATAAAAATCTAGATAAGTAATTTTTTCATAAAATAAGTGCATTTGTTCTTGGATTGAGGAGGTAAAAGAGACACTTTGCAAATGGAAAAAGACAATTTACATTTAAAATAAGAAAACACAATTGTATCGTCTTATTTCAAGTGCATTCTATCTAATTATCTTATTTTAAGAGTATAAATACTAATTCCATTGGCAAACCATCTCACTTACCTTCTCAAATTAACGTTAAAAAATATATAATTAATTTGATATTTTTTACCTATTTCCAGATAGTTTTTCCAGTGTGATAATCAAACCTGAGGGATTTAAACTCCAGACACTCAGCTTTAAGGCAAAAACTCACACATCAGTATCTTTTAGTAGGAAGTAGTAGTAAAGTTAAAGTTAGAGGCAGTGACTTACTGGAAGAACTTGAAGGCATTGACAACAGCTCCAGAACTTGAGAACAGCATCTTTAGGTCATCTTCAACCACAGAAGGGCT